GAAATACAATCATCAGTCATTGTTTCAATCAGCTTTGGGTACAAAATCAACAAAATACTTGTTAAGGTTAATGATATAACAAATTATGAAACAAAATAAAATCTACTACTTTTGTTTAGTTTTATAACATAATACACCTTCTTGAACTTGTTTAACAACATAGACCAATTAAACAATCTACAATAACGAAGTTGCACTTCTAAAATGTGCTAAAATAAAAAAAAATAAAGAAAAATCTTTAATTAAACTGTCTTACGAGCTATCAGTGCTTTGAACATAGTAAATTGGATACTTATCAACCTATCGTAAACCAATATTAGAAAAATCAACATCGAAATAATATAAACCTTGTGTCATTTTCGTGCTTCCTGTAAAACCTGGTTTAGGTAAAATCATTTTAATATCATGCAACGGGACTGCGGCAAGATCGGGAATGACGGGCAGGTGAAATTTGTTTGGATTTTTAACAGATTTGAAATTAACCTCGGTCTCTTCACCTTTTTCGCCTATGACTCTTGCAATATAATAAATATGTTTGCTTTTTACTTTACCTAAATAATATTAAAACAAAGTCTCCTTCTTTTGGTAAACTATTCAGTGGGATAAAATTGTCTGGATTAATTGTCAAAACTTCAGCTTCCTCTTCAAACATTGGTTCTTCTTCAGAATAGATGCTAACTTGGTCGTCGTCTTCACTGGAACTGTCATTACTTAAGACCTTTCTTTTCACAGAAGTTTTAGTCTGCATCTTAGTGTTATTCTTTAATAGTTCAGCTCTTCTTTCTATTTCGGCCTTTTCTGGCGTATCTGTCGCAATCATGGTTTTACCTTTTCGTCTGTCTGTTCTGCCACCTTTTCTAGGAGCAGCTTTTGGCAAACCACGAATAACTGAAACTTAAACCTTTTCGGGGAACAGTGGATCATGATCCAACGAACCCCATTAGCACTTGATTCACTGTAACCCATTTGCCAATAACGGAATTAATAATTTTAGCAAAATATACATCACTTATATCACACCACTTCATACAGTTTTATACAATTAGACACATATACAAAAAGAAAATATGCAAAGACTTTGAAATATCTAAATAATTTTAAACCAAAGCAATTTTAAACATTACGTAAATTTTTTTTTTCGTACTTACTTACTGACCGATGCGCCGTCGCGCGTCCTCACGTTGTGACACAGTGATGGCGACTGGTCGGGTGGCGTGGGATAGGGGATACAATTACCAAAACCGACGCGTGTATGCGTGAGTACAATAGGTACAGAGTTTTAACAAATGATTCACTGTTCCCCGTGATCCACTGTTGCACATGTTCCCCTACACACACAAATATTAATATCTATATTATGCAATATTTGTTACGTAGGTATGTAGGTACAAGTTCATAAGCAATGCTAAAATAAACAAATTTATATTCAGATTAACAGATTTTTACAATTTATCATCAAGAAATTCTTGTACCGAATAGTATGATTTATCCATAACTATTTTCTTTACTTTATTTTTATTATTTCATACTTTGAGTAAGGAGTTACCTAGGTAAGTGGTTGTACACTCTAAGGATCATGCAAAACACACTATTATTCAAATAGAAATAATCTTATTTTAAATTGGTGCATCTTGCTTTGTAGTTTAACAAAAAAGTGGCTGTTATTTCTGACAAACTCTATCATGTCCATCATATACATATAAACATGGAAGAGACTTTCATTTTAGAAAATTTTGTCTACAGCTTTCTGTCTGTTTCCAATTCAACTGAGAATTAATGTCCACTCCCAAGAATATTGTTACATTTACTTGTTTAATTTTGTGTCTAGGTAACTTATAACCATTCCCTTTAATGCATCAACCCCATCTCTAAACGTCGTCAATTTTGTTTTGCTTATATTAATATTTAAATTAAATTATTTGAAATTAGCCATTTAACAATATTTTAGGTATTTATAATAATAGTCCGTTTCAGGAGTATTATATATACCTACCTCTACCTACTATAAATGACTAGCTTGAGTCGACATTATCGAAACAGCCTGGTATGGGTAAGTAGTTAGGTGCCTATTTACTTAATCAGCCATAAATCATCAAAATTGTATCAAAGTTCTTGTAGTTCATAAACCTACTCGAATTGTAATTATTTAATATGTGAGTATTAAATAAAACTCTACCTTTTTTGTAATAAATATAAGGTATTCAGTCCACGTGAGGTGACATCACGTAGTTATACTATAAACTTGATAGAAAAGATCATTTCGTTCCACAGTTTTTCTGTTGCATAGGCACGTAATACAATGAGCAAACAAAAATCTTTCTTTCCAGCTAGGCCAGTGGTAGCCGCTTTATGGCACCTTGGCTTACAAAAATACTGCTGACGGTCTGTTTGAAATTAATGCCTTGACTTTGACTTTGACACCTAACCTACCTAGTGCAATGTGCAGTAGATTGATAATATTACGTAATTAACTAGTGCCCTACAAGGAGTGATAAGACCTGTACAACTAGCAACTAGTATGATAGATGTATGGGTGTATTAGGTAATGCAAGTGGGTAACCTTATCGCTGACCACGTGCACGATGCGGGGACCTTCATCTGCTCGCTGCGGGCGCACGCGCACCGCCACCTGTTGCAAACACATTTATAAGATCTGTTGCTATCTACTAATGTTAATTAGTATCTCTTTAATACCTAAAAAAAGTCTAAATCATTTAAGTATTTTAATTAGACCAGGAAGGAGCTTTTGAATGTCAACAACAAAAATTTAGAAGTGAAGCTAGTTGCTCATTCCAAGGTGTAGATTCCTATGGAGAAGAACGAGCACGAAACTCCATAGGTTATTCTCTAATACCTACATCCTATTACTAAGGCAGATAACACACATGCATGCCTTAATAATATCATGATTAAGTAGGTACTTATGCATATCTAGAATACGTACCTATGGCTAGATTAAAATATACCTACCTGCTTAAATTTTCTGCCAAATAAGCACCTTTACGAGATCGTAATGCATTTGATTCCTAAACGACAAGAAGTTAAACATTTAGTTACTTGTTACGCCATTTTAAATCTAACGAAAAATGTTTGTTTAAGGTGCATTTCGCAATGTTTTTAAGAATCATTGACTGTATTTGTCAACTATAATGTACATCGGGCCCAGTGTTACTGAGATTTGATTGGGACCATCCTCTTAAAATTGCGGGACATCCATTCCCCTCTCAAAATGGCCTTGCAATTGTATTTTACTAACCACAATCGTAACAAAATGCTGGTATTTGTCCACAGTATGTACCTACACCTAACACCTAACGTGTGATAGCATAGGTACCTGAACATAAATTAAATACTTAATTAAGTATTTAGCTTACCTTGTATCTACAGTCTATACAAATACATCTACTTCAATGTTAGTTAAATTACAGCACCAAAATGAAACAGGTATCAATCTTCATTATAATTACCCACCATCACATATTTTCTGTATCCCATAAATATTCCGATAAATAACAGACGTAGGTAATAGTATGAGTTAGATCTCCACAATTATGGCGTGCCAATCGCTGATAGCCATGTGATCTTATAATGCTGTGCAAGTAGACTATCCAATGTCAAAACAGAGGTCATGATCACCACCGATTGGTTACAGTCGTGTCTCATTAACGATATAAATAGGTACTTTTTATGATAATTGTTTACTTACCAATAATAAATGAAACATTACTTATTCCTAGATTATTGTTGAATTTACTAAGTGATATCTAAATATGTTTCTGCTTCTGAACAAATATTAATTTCGAATATATTATTCATATTCATATCTTTATTTGCATTCCATAATGTTTCTTAAGATGTTACATTGGCTTAAAGCTAGGACACAATTATGGACCCCGTCGGGCACAGCAAAATACAAAAATTAAATTTCAGAATTAAATTCAATTAATAACATATTACCATTTTCAATAATTATTAAAATAAATAGGCATAAGTAATAAAATTAAGTCAAATTGATGATGCATCAAGTCAGCAATTTTTCAAACAAATAAAACAACAAAATCCAAAATCATCATGTCACATGTAGCATCCACTAGACAATTATTAAAATAAGCAATTTCATTATAATTAAATAATGTCACATGTTATATCAAGTCATACCAATATTTAAGGTCGATAAAAAGGGTTAGTAAATTTACAAGTAAAGTCATTAATTTCCTTCTATTAAGAGATGCCATTCTGGAAATGAAGTCATGAACTGATTGAGTCTACAGCAAGAACATAAAATAAGCAATGCAACACGTTTTGTCAATAGTTTTTTTACAGTAGGTATATGCTTAGGTACCTACCTACTTAGTTTACAATTCGAAAATCTAACTACATAATCTAATTGTACGCGGTTGTCTGCCTGGAAGAGATTGCATATAATATTGCATACTTTTATGTCTTAAATATGCAAAACTAGATTTAATTAATTACTTCGAGCCAATCCTTATTTACGTATAACAAATACATAGATGTCTATAGAGGTATAGTTACCAAATGGTAAAATACACTTACACAGTATTTATTTTTTTATTATTTTTAATGTACAGAACTAACACTTCTACAGGTTTATTATATGTATAGAACATAAATAGATATAGATATAGATATAGATATAGATAAGTTTTCCTTGGAATACAGTGCGGATGCTGCCATGTGATCTCTCTGAGGCAGCCACGGTGCTTTGAGTCATGGCATCACTTCCTTTACTCACACGCATCCAAGCACAATGACGACCCAGCTCCTGGTCAAAATACAGCCTTCGCTTTGGGCGGGCATTCCGAATGGTTAGTGAGTGCCCTACCTACATATAGGCAATTAACTTTACGTAGGTAAGTTTTACGGTTGAACTTTATAGTATCATTAGACAGACACCTAAGTTAGCCACGGAGAACCTAACGGTTACCGGGGCTCCGGCTTGAAGTGCAGGAATAGGAACGGGGTGGTTCTTAGTCAGTAACAGTCTGACACTCCCTCCGGCTCACCCAGCCGGGAGAAGTCAGTCGATGATTTTCGCCTCTTAAAAAAACTACCCCTTTGTTCATGTGATAGTTTAATTATAATTAATGGATATGGATAGGAAAGTGGATAGGTACCTACGTAGGAACCAATGTACATTATCAAGTATTATTATATTTTAGGTTTATAAATTGACGATGAAATAGGTAACAGTTTAGTAGCCAACGAACTTTAGACTTTTCGGATCACATGACTTTCGTTTGTCGAGTTTGTACTAATGTACAATAGTAAATAGATAGCTAAGTAGTACCTACGTACATTTTTTCATAGCTTCCGTCCCATAATGATCTCACATTTGGACTCATGCCAAGTACGGCGACAACGACCGGCCCTCAGTTTCCATGTCCAATAGTTTGAGAAGACTTTCGCAAAATTCCTTTATTTTTATTTCATTCATTAAGTCTCTGTGCTCATAAGGCACAGCGGCATTGTCAGGGTCTGACTGACAAAAGTATTGTTTTGATTTTTTACCACGTGCCCTGGCATGTGGGCGATAGAGAACTGCAAAGTTGCCTATTCAAGGGCACTAGAATAGGACATCAATTGCTCTGGATCTTGGTTAGACTTTCACGAAGTGTCGAAGCCTATTTATACTTGATAATCCATCGAATGTAGGTTCCAACCTATATGTAAAAAGCACGCAGGTACCTATATAAGCAAGTTACGCAGGTACGGTTAGGATGCCCTATCGCCCTGGCCTCCGATGAGTCAAATTTAATCCAAATCTTAGTTATATCCAGACTCAGTTAAACCTTTATAGGTACCCATTTAATATTTTGCCCTAAAATGTCCTCAAATACCCACAAGGGTTGGTTAGAGCATTTTTAATAAGACGTGTCAGACTGAATATGGTAACTCTACGAATCTTACGCACGTAATATTATTTTTTGTGAATTTGAAATTCTTATTGGGTTTACAGCAATAAATTCATTCCACAGTAGGTAAACCTCGTAAGTTACTGTACCGTAAACTATTGGTACATATCTAACTGTATTCTTAGAGAATAGTGGGTGATGTTATATAAAAATTAATAACAAAATTATAGGTATCATTTTGAATATTCTAATAAATAATTTGCATATGACTCGACCTTGATCGATAAAGAAATAGAATTAAAAAACCTGATTCCAACACAATATACAAATTTTAATACCTAGGTATATTTTACAATTTACAAATAGAAGTATATATAATAACATAACAATATGTTACACTTTTGGCAATAAAATATTATAGCTATAGTAATATTTACAAAGTTTACACAGTGCCAGGTGCAAATAGTTTTACACCTCTATCAAATAGTTTAAATAGATATCGGGAAGGTTTTAAGTCCATGACATACAAATGTTCATTATCATACTTTAGTCCTGGGTACATGGCACTCAAGTGGCCTGATACATCAGCGCTCCAGCCAGAGGTAAGACTCTCAACCTCCAACACAGTGTAAGCTTTGTGCATCAATAAATTAGACATCACACATGTCACATCATCCTCATTTGCTTCATTACAATGACAAACAACAAATGAATTATTGTAACTAGTTACAAATGGAATTAACTCTTTGAAAAACATATTTACTTCTTTCAGTGTATAGTCTAAGTCAAAGAAATGTGAAGCTCCATCCACTATTACATTAACTGTTTCATACTTTTGTCGCATCAACAATACTTTTTCTTTTACTTTCACAAAAAGTTCAGGCAGTTTATTGTCATTTAGTAAACTGTTAATGCAGTATTCACCTATGTTAAAATAATTTATTAATCCTGTGTCCACATATCTTTGCAAGTTGTAATTCATTTTGAGGCCCACATTTTGATAGTGTTGCAGAGAGTTGTGTGTTGACACTACAACAACAGCAGTCTTATTCTTGATGCAATAGTTTAGCAAACAACTGGTGATGAATGAACTGTCACATTTGTTGATTTCTTTTACAACAACCACTTTATTTGACATACTTTTGTCCAGTTTTAGCAACGTTATAATATCTGACGACATTCTGGAACAAATTAATCAATGAAAGAGCACAGCTTCCAAAATATCACTAGCACGAAATATAATGAATCAGTTAAAGAGAAATGTAACATGTGATCTCTATTCCACTACAGCTCCGTAGCGGACGATAAGCGTAACGCAGTCATTACTGGGTGTTTTAAAGCACTGGCCGCGTGTTGATGTGAAACGCAAGCTCCGCGTAAAGCCAATTGGAAAGTGTTCGGTAGTTTACTGGGATTAACATTTCTGGGCAAAATTAAATATTTTATTTTAATGTATCTATAAAATTAATTAAATAATAAACCACCAATAGGTGACTCATACAGTGATCAAAATCGTGTAATATTGCTTTATTTACAAAAAGTGATAGATAAAGAAGTAAGTACCTTTACGATATACTCTTTTCTAAATGAATTATTACTTTAAAATTCCCGGAATACCAGATTCAAGAAAGTCTGCCAATGTAATTATTTATAGTACACCACACAGTAAGAGTAAACTGAGCAACCTCGAAAATAATAAGATCGTTTTGAAAATTGAAGGTTATTTTCCATTGGTAGGTTATTCACTTACGTCAAACTTCAAAAGTGTACGTCAGAAGCATGGGAAAATCGATATGTCAATGGAGACGTTATGTTCGTGACGATAAGTATTTTTGCTACCTAGACCTACTCCGAATGTGGAATGAAAGGATTTTTTTTTAATGCACACATTTTTCCAAAAACACAAAGTCAAATTAAGTTTAACTAATGATTACATTAATTAACTGTGATTTATTTTTGTTTGTATTATTATTTATATGAATAAAATATATACAAGAACTTAAATAAAATGATGATGAATCATTTATATTGCATTTACTGTCAAAGTCAAAATGACAAGCCGGCAATTTAGGAAGTTGATAACGAGTTAACAGTTGAAGTCACAAACCACTGATATGATAAGAGTATGGATAAGAAACAACTAGGAAAAAATCGTGCCTACATAAACTTCACTTGGTCACCTGTAATGGCGGATAGAACTAGGGTTGTAACTTTTCAAACTGTATCTAGAAATATCGATATTTTAGAATTGGTTTTAATTGACTTATCAATAAAATATCATTATTTTATGATTCATCTGGATTTAATTTTTATCTAGCTGCTAAACATTACCAATATATATTTCGTAGTTGCTGCGTGCACTGTCACTCCAGTCGATCGTGCCTATACATTCACATCATAACTTTCACGATACTTATGTATCGAAATTCATGAAAAGGATTTTCCATCAACTGGTCAATATTTATATACTTAAGGTTAAGTAATTTTTGAGGGTTTAAAAATAAAACTGTATCAAAGTATTCATAAAATCAAGATTTATAATATACAATATCTTCGTATTTTTCGTAGTGTTTCCCTGTAATGTAATCTGCAAAACCATCTTTCGAGAAGACTCCAGAACTGGTTCCAAGTTCATTTTCATGCACATATCTGGCTAGAGGCTGCAACATAAATAGTATAATTTAACTTACTTGATCCAATTGAACATAGATTTTTCTATAGATTCTATAGGTACTGTACTAAGCTCTGAACGAAAATGTTTGTACATTACAATGATAGTGATAGATAGCGGAGGAAAACAGAAACATATAGGTACAAGAACCCGGTTAGTTATGAACTTAATATAAATGTTAAATAAAATGTTAAGTTTGCACCTCTTCAAAAAATGCTTCCAAAACTAATATAACAAAACACATAATGAATCGTTTACATTATGATTTACCAATAGAGCTTGTAGCGATAGGGCCCCATCACGTAGATTTACTATTAATTTATTGTTCGGTTAAAACATTAATCTTCAAAATAAAGTTAACAAACAAAGATATGTTTCCTTCTAGTATCTATATTTCCCACATTAATTATTTCCAGCCAAGAACTTCTGCGTGGTTCAAGCACAAACTAAAAAGAAAATTTATAATATTATTAAAATTATCGGCAGAGTTCGACACATTCTAATAAATACTCTAAAAATACCCTAAAGTTATATTTCATTTGTTTGTTTCATTTGAATCCGTCGAGCGGCATTTGATAAAAAAATCAATTTTGACAAAAATGCATTTCCCACAATATTATTCCTTATCTCATATTGTACAAAAATTATTCTCTATTGTATTAATTATTTATTACATTACGTAGGTATTGACGATGGTGGAATTTTGTCGATAAAATGAAATTTTTGACGAGTACTTAATGTTTTTTGTATTTTGTCATTATGTCAAATTAATGCACTTTATCATTCAGAATTTAGTATAGTTCTTTGTTCTACTTTTGACGCATTTATTATGTACGATAAAATTATCGATACGGGAACAATCATGTACATCACTATTTTTTAATGAAAATTGTTTTAGACGTATTTCAACTAAAATTAATGAAAATAAGCACTGCATTAGTTAGAAAAGTATTGTATTTAGTCAATTTGCAGCAACCACACTTAAATAGTTTGAAAAACAGAGATATTTTAATGAAAAATAACAGTACTTACCGATGTAATGTTACACCTCGGGTTCGATTCCCGGGTCGGGCAAAGTATTACTGGGTTTTTTTTTAAATTCTCAGTAGTAGCACGGAGTCTGGAAATGTGCCCGGTATATGGCAATAGGCTCACCCCCTATTACATGGAACTCATAACAACTAGTGAAAAGTGGGTGTTACATTGTACTGTGGTAGAATGTGCACCTCTGCCTACCCCTTCGGGGATAAAAGGTGTGATGTTATGTATGTATAAAATTATTATTAGTCAGAATTGTCACGTCGCTCGATAGAGGGTGTTAATATCGAGATAGATCACGCTATGGTTTCATTACATCAATTTGGTTAGGTTGCTCGTCAAACCTGACGTTGGCGAGAACTACTAGCGCCCCTAGCGGGAAAAAGTATATAAAGGAAGAGAATAAAAAGTGAAAGTAAAAGTGGTGTTGTGTTGTTACTCCAAATCCCTCGCATGCCGACCCTCTGTCTAATGTCTTCTTCAGCAGTTGCAAACGCTATAAATTTATTGCTTCTGATGCATTATAATGCATTAAACAAATATTTGAATTGAATTTTGTCATGAAGAATTATTTGCCTGAGAGAATGAATTTGCGTTGACCACATCAAGAGTCCTAATCGACAATGATCCTTAAAATACAATACACACAGAAAGGTCGTCTGTTAGGAATAGTTAATATTTTCTTTACACAATTATTCTAGCCATTTCTATCTTGTAACTCTCGTATGTAGGTAATCTATACAATATTTCATGGTTATTGTTATCTTATACAAAAATTATATATTTATATAAAAATTATATTGTTTAATATCTTAATGCCAACCGATTCTATTTAATCACCTCACAGCACTAGTTAATATTGTTTTTACATAATGAACTAGCAGCCAACCGTATACAGAATATACGAAATTATCTATACACTAGAAAAATCTTCGGAATACCAGAAAATACATTTTTCTGTAAATAAATATGATTTCCTTGTGAAACGATTTTCGGTATGATTTACAGCCGTATTTCTTGCCACACTCTTTAACACAACATAAGGTGTTGTGTTAAAGTACACAACACTTAGATAATATGTCTAAGTGTTGTGTTAAAGTAACTATGCCATAGTCTGAATATGATCAGACTACCGCATAGTTACTTTTAAAATACATAAAAAAATTCTAAACTCATAAAACACTCTGTACATTCAATTTCTATTTGCGATAATTCCACTCCAAACCCTTGACGTTTCACGTAATAGAAACATGGAAATTAAAATGGCGACCCGCCACGTAGGCGGACCAACGCATGGACGTATACGTCCATGGACCAAAATTGACGGAATATTAAAAATGTTGCCACTATGTAGTTTGTACTACTATAATCTATCTATCTCTTTCTACATTACGAAAATTAAAGTATGATAAAAGAGAACCGATTATATTTTGTCTTTTCAATTAATTCAATAGCATGGTTCATGTTGGACATTAGGGTATGTCCTAGAATTCTTAAGTCATTGGTCAAAATAAAAAACGGCTCATGTTTTTGAGAAGGCGAGTCCTTCCTAGTCCTGTAAATAAGATTTATGGATTCAACTATTCAAACTCATGCAAAGAGTTTAAAATAAGTTTATATATAATAAAGTCTTCAAGTCATTGCGGTCATTGCATAAATAAAAGTTGCAGTTGGATTAAAATGAATGTATTCGTCTGTTTGTGGCTTCACTTAATGAAGAAGTATTAAATTAAATTTTAGATAAAAATAAAAAGGCTTCTTCTTATACCTTTACAATGTGTATCTGGGAATTCAATTTCTAAAATAATTAAGGTTGATTTGGTGTTACATTCATGTCTAACAATTTAAGTAGCTGTTGCATAAATTAAATATTTTATGTATAAATCCAGCAGTATTCATATAATTATGTATATTTATAGGAACAATATACAGTGAATAAAACTATAACGGAATAACGGTGTAACTTTCATATGGGGATTTTAAGATATTAAATTTTGAATACATCTGCTTTCGTTTCTAGTTCACATAATGGGCGACCAAAAGGATTCAGCAGGACCGAAAGAAGTGAGAGTATCAAGATGGTATTTCGGAGGACTTTCTTCGGCTGGAGCTGCTTGTGTCACTCATCCATTGGATCTGCTGAAAGTTCAAATGCAAACCCAAAAGGGGAAAAACATTTCCATGTCTCAACTTGTTGGGATAGTTGTAAAAAATGACGGTAAATATTTAGATTCTTATTTCACAAATTACACAGAACATTAGGTAGTAATTAAGGAATCATTAAATACCTAATTCTGAAAGCCATAAAATCAAGTTAACACGTTAAACGCCATGGCAGTCACCGGTGACCGACATTAGCGGAGGATTTGCCTTCAACAGTTTTTTATTGGCAGCCAATGCCTTAATGAGTGTGGTCATTTATCATACTGCATATTTAAAATTTACTTATTAAAATGTTTTTGTAACAGTCATTAATTTATAATAAGTATTTATTATATTTTTTCTAATAAGATTAAAACTAATAAATTACTTTAAACTGTCAAACACCAAGCGGTCACCGGTGACAGCAACCTATTGTTCTATAATTGTGTCTGCAAAACCGGTACTCGACGAGTTAATTAGCTATTAACAATCTCATAGAAACAATAAATATGAACATCAAATTGAACTTTACAGCACCTCACTTGTTGTAATATAAAAGGTAAATAATTTGTCAATACCTTGTTTCCAGGTATCCTAGGACTATACAATGGTATATCAGCCTCCTTGCTAAGACAATTAACATATTCAACAGTTAGATTTGGAATATATGAAGTGGCTAAACAACATTTCACACCTAAAGATGTAAGCACCTTTCTTTTTACAATGACATAATTTAATTATTTTATGCTGAAATATATTTTAACAAAAATGAACAATTCTCTTGTATTTTACCTGAACCTACCATTTTCTTATATCTATATTTTCAGGGTAAGCCTATTCCATTTTATATGTCTACACTTATAGCTGGCGTGGGTGGATTTGCTGGTGGTTTTATGGGGAACCCTGCAGATTTAATCAATGTGCGAATGCAAAATGATGTAAAACTTCCACCGGAGCAAAGAAGGAAGTATGTATAAATGTCAACTAATATGATAAATGCGAAGGTATCAAAAAAGCTGGAGAGATCGGGATGAAATTTGGAACAATTGTAGATTATGGTCTGTAATAACACATAGGCTAATTTTCATCCCATGGGAATGCAGGCGAAGCCACCAACAGAGTACGCTAGTTTCCTATAAATTAATTATTCTTTGTTACAAAAAAGAATATATGTCTGAAGGAAAATAATAAATACTGGCTTTCAAAACAGCTATTTACTGGTTTTCCTATTTAATACTAGGTACTAGGCCAAATATGGGAAACACGGAAAATGACATAAAGCATTGCCTCATCACTGCAATTAACACAAAAATTCTATATAGTATTAAACAATTAGTAAATTATTACAGTTACAAAAATGCTGTACATGGATTATGGAGAGTAGTTGCAACTGAAGGCATAACACGACTTTGGGCAGGCGCCAGTATGACATGCAGCCGAGCAGCGCTCATGACAATAGGACAAGTGGCATTCTATGACCAAATCAAGATGTTACTTCTTTCCACTTCATTTTTCCACGAAAATGTTGTGACTCATGTCACGGCAAGTTTATTAGCGGTAAGGATAGATTTTAGTTTTATGGTAGTAACATTTTACTATGTGTCTATTTATGAAAATATCGCATTTCTCGTAGCCTTAATTGTTATTTAATTACTGAGTTTCAAAATGTTACTACTTCTGTAGCTAGAATATCTAAATGTTAAAATTATTGTTTGCTATTGCAGGGAGGCGTAGCAACAACTATGACCCAGCCTGTGGACGTCTTGAAAACGCGTGTAATGAACGCTAAACCTGGTGAATTCAAGGGTATATTTGATGTTGTCTTTAATACTGCTAAGGAAGGACCACTTGCATTCTTCAAAGGATACATTCCAGCATTTGTTAGACTTGCACCTCACACTATTTTAACATTCGTATTTTTAGAACAACTTAGAATGAATTATGGTTTTATCAAAAATTAACAATTTAAGAAAGAATAATTTAGGACAAATGTACTTTTATATGATTTTGTAGTGGTTTTAGATGATGTGGTGTTTTGGAGTAGATTTTTAGATGCATTTAGTATTTCAATATAATTCGTACATCTGATCCTATAAAATGCTGAAACTTGTATCAGATTCTAATGTACACTATGTACTAAGCTGACTTGTGAATCAGTAGGTATGACCTGATTAGTCAGGCCATGATTTGACAAATAATTATTGGCAAAAGTGGATTTCCTATACTTGGATAATCATTTGACTTCTTATTAATAATTTAATGTAACTGGTCTAAAACAAAGAAATTTTAATTTCTCTATTGCCTACTTTAATGGAAGATGGTCGAGGCTTAAGGGCCGTAGCGTTGCGTCGCCGCAGCGCTAAAATCGACAGTTTGCGTTGCAGTGCGTTGCGGCGTCGTGAAAAAGAGCGTTTTATTGTTGTTCGGTAGGGTAACCAAACCAGTTCGTCGTGAATTTTTATTGTGGATAGACGTGTCTCTGCCATGGACCATCGTAAAAAACTTATTGCTTGTTTGTTATTAAGAAGACATTACTCTGCTATGCTGGAACGAGCGCTGCGTTGCGGCGCCGCAACGCCGCAACGCCGCAATATAAACTGCCGATTTTAGCGTTACGGCGACGCAACGCGGTCATGTGTTTCGGTCCGCGGTCAAGTATTTGAAAGGGTAGGACTCTGATTTGTGTCAGAACGGTCACGGGCAGCACGCGAGACATTATTATGATTACGAAAAGGCTCATATTATTATGATTACGTCCGTTACGTGCGTCCAACACAAACCGGAATCGAAATGCCGTGTTAGAATAAGTTATCAGTTCAGTTTTGTCAATCTTCGGATTGTGCTATGTAAAGGAAAAATACTACCTAAGTGAAACTTTAAAAGTTTTTATAGTTACCAACTTCTTTGAAGCGTTTTATAATTTTTAGAATTTTACAAATAATTTATTTTGAGATAATTGTTAATATTTTAAGGATAATAAGATTTTTTTTTTTTTCATATTAATCATAAGCCAAAAATCACCATCAAAATTGCTCATTAAAACAATACTTGAAATGATATTTCATATTCAATCGATATTCATAAAAAGAAGCAAATGTGGGGGGGGGGGGGGCACGTATTTACGCGCTAATGTAAACCTCTCGTTTTTCGTCCAATAGGGAATTAGGTAGTGTCACGCCATTAAACGTACAATATAGTGATTGGACAAAAAACCTTTTGCTACATTTGCGCCATCTAGGACCAAAAATACGATAACCCCCCAAGGGGCTATCCATAAATTACGTCACAACTTAAGAGGGGGGAAGGGGGTCGACGAAGTGTGACATTGTGTGACAAGGAGGAGGGAGGGATCCAAAACTTTGTGATGTAACATTTCAAAAACTATTAAAATCTTAAAATTTTAAAATCGAAATATAATTTTATTGTTTTTTTTATTTTGATAGGTAATATTGTTTGATTTGACATTAATATTTTTTTAAAGTAATTTAAGTGGAAATAAAAATATCAATAGTTTCTATACTGTAATTCTGCAAAATGTGACGTCACACTAGAGGGGGGGGTCTCACAAATGTGACTAGCTGTGACAAGGACGGGGGAGGGGCAATAATGTCATGAAATTCGTGTGACGTAATTTATGGATGACCCCCCTTTAAAAGAATGTGAATGATTAATTATATACAATTTTATAAATGTGTAATTAAAAATAATGATCTGTTATAATTTTGAAATATAAATTTAAGAATTGATGTCAAATAATCTTGACAATATATATTTTTGTCCATCCCTCAAAGGGCCAGGATTCGACATTTTATTTTAATGACGGTAAATATACCCGGGGCTGTGTTGTTATTTTTTTTGTTATTGTACTGTGCCAAAATCTTACAAAATGGAGACTTCAAGGATTTATAAGAAGACATTATTCCACTATTATACAATAATAGTAAACTACTACTTTAGAGTTTATTTTTGGATGTTTTTTTTTTAATAATTTGAGATACATACATTCCTCATAAAATAATATATTTGTATTACAGACACATACATAATCTTATAAATGCATTGACTGACGTTGACACAATACTACTGGCTCTTATGCGACTTATAACATTCCAATGACGAATGTTTATATTTGTCTCTGGAAGTCGGTATTTGCTTAAGTTAGGTGTCCTTAATACATATCCATTTTATTTTAACAAAACAAAGCAGTTATCATTGTCAGTCGAGAGGACGAGTATCTCATTTTGTTATAGTTATACATACTTATGACTGTTACTTGTAAAGTAAGTGTTTGAAGAAGTATAAATAACTTGCGATATGTATTATTATCAGAAGATATGGGTACATGACAGTTGTTTTATCAGCAAAGTATGAAAAAGATTTTTATAAGTATAGTCATCCAAAGAATGTATCTATGTATTGTGTAATTCTTCCATTAGTTCCATTCAAGTTATCTAATACAGTGATCGTTTTGATCACACTCCTATACAATCTAATTTAACTCGTCGAGTACCGGTTTTGTAGACACAATTATATAACAATAGGTTGCGGTCACCGGTGACCACTCGGTGTTTGACAGTTTAATAAAATGTGTAACCTATTTATTTAATTATTTAAATTTTGACACTGTTATTACTGTTATTAGGTAGGTAAATAAATTATTATAATGTATGTTACAAAAATAATACATGTAAGTTCAGATGGTCTTGATAATGTTTAACATTGACAATTAGTTTAATAGAATTCAATTATTTAGAAGGGGATTTGAACATGTTTGTTAGATAATTGGTATAACCATAAGTCTGTCAAATCTACCCATTGTGACTATTTGATATTATACACGCCAGAAATTATAGACATAGGTAAAATACAAATGAATAAGCATAAATGTGTCTCAGCATCATTTTTATAGGATCTTTGAGAGCAGTTGCCAATAATTCGAAAGAAATTAAAATAACTATTACCTAAACATAAAACATTATATTTACTTACTATTTGGCATGTGATCCAAAACTTAAATATCTCAGAATGGGGCACTACACTATGTTTGAAATATATATACATATTGTATATATATTATGTTTTATTTACTTTATGTCCAAACAAATGTGTGTAAGATTATTACTCGAAACTGTTAGAAGAGATCATAAAGACATGCTGGTAGCCATACCTCAGATTGTCTCCATTCCCCCTATCCTTAAAAAATATCGACCACATAATAAATACACTCGATCTGCGTTCTTGACCTTTATTTTGTGTCAGATAGTCACAATTTACAATTGATAAGTTACTAATGTATAGTACTTGTTTAAGGGCCGATATTTCAATCAACAGTTAACTTTTTACTGTACATAAAATTCACATTTGGCAGTTTTCAGTATGGATCAATTATCAAATACCACAGTTAAAATTTATCTGGCGTTGGAAAAATCGGCCCTAAATGTTACTGTTGTGTACTTTAAAGGGAATATACCTTCTACACTAGACTAAATGTGTCCAATTAGTCATAGGACTTATTCAGTAGTGTTAGTTGATGTTTAGAATTCCATGTGGTGGTTGTATATTAAAATTCTTGTTATTGAACATTGTTTTCTTTTTACCATTTTGTAATTTCGTACCTGTATAGATTATAGCAGACAACACTACCGCTCATTACACCCGTATTGCAACTCAAGAGTACGAAATTTCACAATACCAATGTCGATCGATCTGAATTCGATTCAAGAGTAAGCGCCCATTACACCCGTATTGCGTGGATATTTAATGAAGTAATTGGTATTGAGTTTGACTTTATATTTCGTATACTCTAAATGCTATTTTAACAGCTACGATTGGGGTTGTATAGTTATGATATTCAATAATTATTGAGATTTTATTGGATTTAAATTACATTGAGATTGGTTTCAAGAGTAAGCACCCTGAGGCCTTGGTACGAGTTTGTTTTACGTTTAAAGTAATCGTAACGAGTACGCGTTCGGCGCAGTGATTGGTTCATTGGTGTGCGTTCGCGCAGCGGAATGTTGTTGAATTTAAAGATTTTAATTATGCAGATAATTAGTGTATGACTTCCTATAATTGTGTATGGTAAAAAAAGAATTGTGTATGCAACCATTGTGGAGAAATTAACCAACTGATTCCGCTGGGCGAACGTTGTCCTGGCGGAACTTTTTTTAATCCATAGACTAGCGCGAAAGTTTTGCCATTAGTTTTCATTTATTATTATATTAGTTTAGTTTTTTTGCTAGCTAATGGCCAAACGTTCGCGTAGCGGAAACTTGAATTTCTCCGAAGTTTATGCATGCACTGATTTCATTCATACATAAACAATTACGCACACATACACACTAATTTTTGGACACATCTCATTTCTTTTAAAGTCTATGGATTAAAAAAAGTTTCGAACACTTAGGTACTTACGTAAATCAAACTCGTATATACTATCTTCTACAGCAGCGGTCCCAGTACCGAACCCTGTGGAACACCGCACGTAATAAACGTTACGAGAGGTTACGGAATCGGGATGACGTTGATGAATAAGTACAGAATAAATAAGACAATTTTTAAAATTTATCATAATATATTGCCGTACTCTTTGAACAGACATAAATAAAGTGTGCATCAAACAATGGCACTAAAATTAGTGGTGGGAGTTTTTATTTTAATTTAAATAATAACGAGTCAAACACTATTACTTAACTAACACCTTACATTTCAATCTAGAATTAATTAAGTAATTATAAAGCCAAATGAGGTTCATAGTTTAAATCACTGGGTATTTTACCCAGTGTATTTTCTTAATTGTATTGTATGCAGATCATTCACTTCGTCGCTGTTTTGCGATTGCCCGCAGCATAAGGCTTTGACCAGCGGGCTCAATTAAAATAGTAGCGGGACCCTGCATCCAAGGCTCTCCATCCACTTGCATGGCACATGATCCTTCCAACTCAATCTGAAATATCAATACAGATTTTATTTACTAACATTTCGATAGGTCCAACACTTGTACTGTTTTGTCCATAAATGGTCTTTGTAAAACATGCATTTTTATTAGTTCTTATTTTTTTTATGTATCAAAACAGGTACAAATTATAATTTACCTTCAGGCTAGATGCTTGTGCAAAACGGTAGGGTTCTGCTAAACCGCACTGCAACCTCGCGATGTGAAATGAAGATGAAATTCCAACCACCTGTAATTAATAAAGTAAACTTATAAACCTGTAATTAATAAAGTGCTAAGTATGGCCAGAGCCATGCTTCGGCATGAATGGGTCGACTCGAACGGAGTGATACCACGGCCTCACAGAAAACCGACGTGAAACAACGCTTGCGTTGTGTTTCGTCGTGTGTGTGAGGCTACGAGATCCTTGGTGTTTCAGGTGTCTATGGGCGGCGCCGATTGCTTACCATCAGGTGATCCGTCTGCACGTTTACCGCCAAAAAAAAAATAACTTTCCGTCTTAACTTCGTTTTGAAAATTCCCAAAATTAAAATTAAAATTTGTTAGTTTGACTAGTGAAGTGCCTGGTGGATATCTCTACATGAGACCACTAATCTTTTATTGCAGCCATTCTCAAAATAACTAATAGGACTATACGACACACTAGCGCCATCTATATTATTTGTTTTGGACGTTACAAGAAACAACGGCCATTTTAACAACTATTTGCACAATATATAATCTGCAATGGAAGCAAGAAAATAGAAAAATAAAATTATCTTGAGTTGATAATTAATCCTTACTAATATTATAAATGGGAAAGCGAGTTTGTTTGTTCCGCTTTCACGCCGTAACTACTAAACCGATTGCTTTGAATGTTTGCAGACGTAAAGTTAGAAGTCTGGATTAAATAATAGGGTACTTTTTATCCCAGAAAAATGTGATATTCTCGAGGGCTAACGAAATTATTGGTACAGATAGCGCTGTGTGTATAGGTATATGTCACATAGGCTACTTTTTATCCTTTTGTGACGCGAGCGAAGCCGCGGGTAAAAGCTAATTAGATATAAGTCATAGGCGTACCTCGAGTTTTCCATCATGGATGCTTTGTTCTCCCACGTCATCTTCGCTTCCCATGCCTAGAGGTACAAGTGATGAGTTTGTTAAAGTTAAATGATGCAATTTAACAAGCAAGCAAATAAAATCCTATTATACAAGCTCTTAAAGACTCATACTTTGCATTAAAACAAAACTTTTTGCTTAATTAAAAAAAAGGACTTTACCCGGCGAGGCGCACTCAGTGTCAATGAATGAGCGTCAAAATCTAAATGTAGTACAGTATAGTCGATCATAGCCAGTCGACCTAATTGTGTAAAAGTCTCTACTTCGTGTTAAATTCTGAATTTAAAG